GATCTGATTTATTTAATAAACGATTAATTGCATTAATACGATCATTTGATCGAAGAGCAGTTATTGTTCTATTAGAAAAAAAAAGAATCCTTTGATTTTCTTTTTCTATTAAAAAAAAAGAATTTTTCTTACTGAACAATTAATTTTCCAACAATAATTCGAGTTTCTAATTGAGAATAATCTTTATTTGCTAATTTAAAAAGAATTTTTTGTTTTAATCGTAAAATATTTTTCCAATTTTTATTTGATATTTTTTTCATTCGATCAATTAATTCCATAATACATTCAATACCTTGTTCAATATTATCATTTAATTCTTTTAAACCATCAATAATTGTATCTAAATATTGTTCATTATTTATTTCTTTATTCATATTAATTTCATTAATAATAATTTTTAATATATCAATATTATTTGTAAATGTTTGACAAATAATATTAAGAAAATCTAAACGATATTCTAATGATAAATAATTCGATGTAAAATAAATCAAACGATAATTATTTGGTTCATATTCAAGACATTTTAATAAAATTTTCGAATGTTGAAGTGATTTTGATGTTTGATGAGATATATCAAGTCCATTGATAAGTTGACAAACTAATGAAATTATTTGAGTATTTTCTATTGATGATGAATATGATTCAATATGTTCAATTGTTCTATCAAAAAGAACTTCAAATGAACGATGAGAATCATGTAGAAGAAGAACAATATTTAAACATTGAATCATTTCAGTTATTAATCTTGAATTATCATTTTCCTAAAATTTATTAAAATTATACAAAAAATTTTTAGTACATTATGTGCGAGATTAAACTATGAAACACGATGTAACTGCTGTTTAGAGCCTGCCGGGTCTGAACCGACAGTTGCTACTCTAAAAGTGAAAGTCAATTTTGAGCATATTCTTATACAATCATTGGTAAGATGTTCTGAGGAATGTGTAGGGTGTGCTAGTTGTTGAATCTAAATAAGCGATAAATATCTCGTATGTTCCGAACGACTATCAAAGACGTGCTCTATTGCTATTACTCATTACGTGAAGATTGCTTTATTCTATCTGTTTTAGCGGATATGTCTTCACTATCCTTTTCAGAAATGTAATAAGACTGTAGGTATCGATGTGAATGAAGATCTTTTGTGTAGCATCACAGAGCTATTTTCCATACCCCTTCAGGATAGTTTAAGACTAAGATCTCCCAGAGATGTCCATCGCGGCTGAACCTCTGCCGCTGCCGCGCCGCGGCATTAGAAAAAAAAAGTTACCGCGCCGCGATGAGTAATAAACTTGCCGCTGCCGCGATGGTTTTCAAAAAAGTGTTTCGATTTTCACTGCTGCAACTATATTGGACCAGAAATATTCGTACTAGTCCATCAGATTCATTCAGTCTCGGGGTGTTTCATTTGTAAACAATGAAATTCTATTAAATTCATGCAGCTTTTCAATGTCCTCGAAAAAAAATGCTGCCGCTGCCGCGATGAGCTTTTAAAAACTCTGCCGCTGCCGCGATGAGTTTTTAAGAAACCTGCCGCTGCCGCCGTGGCGGTGGCGGCGCGGCAGCGGCAGCGCCGCCATGGACATCTCTGACATCTCCTTCGGCAAATTATCTCGACAGCGTCCGGGACACGGCGAATTTCTACTCTTATGCCTCCATACTTTTTTCAGATGGTGTTTTACAAAATTCTTTAAAACATTGCAACACTCAATATTCTCTTAAATGTACGGCACAGTATAAAAATCGTTTTTGTGGGGTTCTCTACAAAACAAGAAACTATTCGAATATAATGCAAAAATATATTTCGAATTTTCTATTTAATTTTTCATTCGATTGCTTATTGATGAATAAAAGTAGTTCAGTATTCAATTGTATAATCATTTACTGAAGAAAATTTGCAGGAATTGATTTAATTTTATATTTTATATTAATACTAATATCAGATAAGAGTTTTTCATAATAATAAAAAAAATATCTTAGAGTAATTTAAAATTTAATAAGCAGAACTTAACTTGCAATCTGACTTAATCAAGTATACAAGTGTATTATTCCTTAGACGACTACAATAGAATCAATCTTCGACTACTTGTCTGAATGATCAGAGAAAAAAAAATTGTAGTGTTTAATTAATGTAAACTTAAATAAAAATAACTGAATTTCTTTTTTTCTTACATGTAATACAAATATTTTGTATATATTTAATTTCATTGCTAAATTAATTTGCATATTATCTGGACCTTTTTCCAAATCAATATTTGCAAGAATTAATTTTTCGATATAATTTATTTCATCCATTAAAATCTAAAATAAACAAAAATCAAAATACAATTATCAAAATAAATATTTAATTATTGACTTAAGCGATGTCATTTAAATATTAATAATCTGCCATCTAATACTAATACGACATTCATATTATTGACTTACTTGATTTTGTTTATTCGGTGATGAAATGATATTAAGTAATTGATTAATTTTTATATCTTTTTTATTTTTTAAATAAATCTTTCGTAAATGTTGATGAACTTTATCCGATGGTGGATTTATTTGTTGAATATATATTTGAAATATAACATGACATAGATATTCATCAATTTCATTTGAAATATCTAAATATTCTTTATGATAAATTTTAAATAAATAAATAATTTATTATATTTAACCTTCTTTAGCATGTTGAATTGTATCAAGAGCCGAATAAATCATTAAACTATACCTTATGATAAACAAAAAAAATAGAAATAAATATTTTTATTAAATAAATTTTACCCGCTGTCTTTAATTGTTTTTTCAACAAGTGGATATGGATTTAAAATAATTTTTTCAATTATATTCGATAAAAATTGTTCAAGTTTTTCATTAACTCCTAATTTTAACCATGTATAAATCCATATAATTATTTCTTGTTCATAATTATTAATCATTGAAGAAAATTTACTAATAATCTTAAAATAAACATTCATAAAATATTTTCAAAATTTAAAACAATATGATTCTTTTTTTTTTGTTACCCATGATAAATCTTCTGCAGTTTTATTGAAATTTTTTAATTGTTTTCCTAATTTAAATAACATTCGTATTGGTGTACATTCAAGTTCTTTATTCTAGAACAAAACAAAAAAAAAAACTAAGTTTTTTCTTTTAATTGAATTTTTATTTTTTCATACATGTCTTGCCCAAGTAACATCATCAATTGATTCACGATAATTAAAAATATTTTTAATACATTGAAAATAATTTTCAATAATATCATTTTCTAAAGAAAGATCTTTAAAAAATGATAATAAATTTAATATTGAATTTGATAAAAGTATATCAAGATTTATATTCATTGCTGACATTGACATAAAACATGATGATGAATATAATTTTAATAAATTTATATATTGACTTATAGATTGATTATAATCAGATGTTGATTTAATAGTTTTTAAAAAATTTAATGAATCACAAAAATGATCAGGTTTTGGAATATACTAGAAAAAATAAATAAAAACAAGATTGATTTTAAATTATATTACAAGACATTGTTAATCGTACAAAACTTCTCAACGTCTTATTTTTCCTATGTGTGTGGTTTAGTTATTTGACATGCATTATCGATATACTCTCCAGAGATCTGCACTTCCCTACAGACATTTTTTTCTGCAAGATGGATGTCCGAGCATCCTCTGGTTACAGTATTACATTTTTGGAAAGCTGAAAATTCGTCCTTCATAAACAAGCTGTTGCTGCCATCATAAACATTTCTACTACTCGATTTTAACCACGGAGCTATTTGATATGGAATGATTCTGAACAAGTCACTGATCGCTGTTGGCAGCATATCACCAATACAATAATGTGTTGACTACGTTATGATACAGAGTGATTCTCATGAGTAGATGGGTGCTTATTCAATGTCTATGGGAAACTCAAGAGATATCGAATTAAGGTCCCTCTCCCCTTAAAATTCGATCCGAGGCTAGGAACGTTCGAATGGCATGAAATTTTCAGCTCTGCACTATGACGTTTGATGGAGGTACCGGCCAAACAAGGGTCAAAAAATAGCTAATTTCGTCTTCAAAATTTCTCTATGGTCTTCAGTCTATACATTTAATATTTTTTTTTGTTTGAAAGAGCATGTCAGAATGCAGTACTTATGAGAACCCTTTTTTTTCAAAACTCTGACTTTTTAATGGCAGAAAAGGATTGCAAGTTCAATGACTCAAAAAACCTCTCCAAAAATGGCGCTCTAATTATATAAAGCTTTATAGATATAATAAAAGCAAAGCTTAATATAAAAAAAAACTATTGGCTACAATGAAGCTCCTTCGAGAACCTATAAAATGAGAAAAATCGATAAAGATTTTTGGTATTTTTTTCAAAAACAGCTTGTTTTTCGAATAGAGGATGAAAGAAACCTTAAAAAATTTTTGGAAAAAAAGAACGTATCGAGTAAAAATTGTTGTCGTTTATAAGAGATCCGGTGACGAGCTATCTTTTCCTGCGTTTATCTTAATTTTGTTGGTTTTGACGAAAAGTGACTTTTTTTAGGGGAGACTTCACGAAACTGTCTTCATTCATAATCTTATTCTGCGAAGCAGCCGAAAGATGAGATATTCTTTATAAAAATAAGAAATTTCGATAACTTTTTTTTCTGCAAGCGTAAAGGCTCATCCAACATTTCTATTAGATTTTGTTCGTTCATAAAGTAAAATTTCAATTCTAGTATTCTAGACAAAGTATTTATGAAATAAAACTTACTCTCAAAATAGCTTGTTGATAAGCTTCAATAATATTATTTTTTTCACAAGTTAATGAAAAATTCATAATCATATTGAAAGCTTCTTTAACTTTTTCTAATATCATCGAAAGAAATTTCATTGAAACTAATTGAATTGTTATATCAGGATTTTTTAAAATCACTTGTTCAAATTTATTCATAATATCAATTGGTAATGTTAAATGAATTAATATATCAGTTAATTTATTTGAATCAGTTATTGTTTGAAATATATTATGCCAAGTATTGAGTGATTTTTGTTGTTGAATTATTTCACAAAGAAATTCTAATGTACCTGAGAGATTTTTTGAACGTATACTAATATATTCATGTGATATTAATTTAAAAAATCTACAAAAGGAAACATTTTTATTTCTATTTAAAAAAACACAAACTTTCACATACGATTGAAGAAGATCAGGACATGTTGTTAAACAAGTAACAATTAAATTTGCAGCATATTCATCAGTAAGAAAATGATTTGAAAGACTTGTTATAACTTTAAAAATTATTGGATTTGAATTTCTAAACAAAAAATTAGTTTTTACTTAAACTCAATAGAAGAAATATAGTGAGGTTTTTTTTGGACAACTAAAATTGATCCTATTGCTAATGTATCGAGGTTCAATTTTGTTCAGAACGAAAATTCATCTTGTCATATAACCCATCGGGTGTGGGTATAGAACAAGATCAATACACTAATGTTTCTCGTCCATTCAACGTCTTGTCTTTAGAGGTGTAAGCGGTACGGCTGAGCCACCGCCGCCACTGACATCCATACATATGCGATCGAACATTTTTTGTTATTTTTTATCAGTCGAATTTCTAACCACAATTTTAGTCTTAGCAACCGGCACTGTCAAAACAAAAATTGAAGCGATTATAGCCGCTGCTACTGAAGAATCTGCGAAATCGAATTGGTAGCCGCCGGAAATTCTCAACAATTGAAAATTTTTGCCACCCGTCGCTGTTCGACTTACACCTCTACTTGTTTTTCAAATGAAATTTGCGAAATAGCCCAATAACGGTGAGATTTATTGGTGGGTAAATTGTCAGATCAAATATGCGTTATTCGATCTTTAACTAACGAATGAACTATCCAAACCAGAGATGGACAAAATCGCACCGCGCCTCCCCGCGCCGCTGCTCGCGCCTAAGCGCTACGCACATCTCTCTTTCTCTTTGCTCTACCAATCAGTTTCTCAAACTCCACCGAATACCGGGATGCTCTAGGCATGCGCTCATCGAAGCTCAGACTAGTGTAGCGTAGGCGTGAGCAACGGCGCGGGGAGGCGCGGTGCGACTTTGTCCATCTCTGATCCAAACTGATCCTCGCTATTTTCAGCTGATACTAGGTTTACAAAAGGGATCTCGATAATATGAGAAAAATGTTTAGTTTCAATCTCAATAATTCTAATCTTCATTGTTAGTAACGTTATATGTAAAAATAAAATATTACTTTGTTGACGTTCCAAAAGTTGCATCAAAAAAATTAATTCCATAATTTTTTGAATTTAATATAATCATCATAAATGTATGAATTAATCGACGAACTTCATCACGATCACTATTATCTTCAACTTCCATCTAAATAAAATTTGTTTTTAAAAACAAAACTATAAAATTTCAATTACTTCTTCAAAATCTAATGATTCATTAAATTTATTTTTTTTTTTTATTTTAATTATATCTTTTTGTTTTTGTTGACCAGTCCAATTATATAATCGAATAAGTGATTTTAAATTACGATCATCAAATAAATGAATTTTATCAGTTTTTGTTATTCCTGTAACCATAATTATCTAAATTTAATTTATTTCAAATTAAAAATTTTTCAAAAAAATTTTTTTTTTTGTTTTGTTTTACATTTGTACGTATTTCATTAAGTATAAATTCAACTGTATGACGAGAATCATTAACAAGTCCATTAAAAATTTCATGAAAAATATCTATACAAATACATTTTCAAAAAAAGATAATATTCATAACATATTTAAGAATACTTTGTTCTTTAATTAAATTTTTAATTGTATCAATATGTTGATAAACTAATGGAGATAAAAAAAATTTTATCGTCAAATAACGAACATCTTCTATATCCTAAATATAATCTTGTCAAAAAAAAAGTCTTCTAAATTAAAATTAATTTTAATATACTCGAATATCACGTCGTTTAAATAATGGTTTCCAACATGATCTTTTAAAATCAATTAATGAAAAAATTAATCGAGCACTAAATTCATTTTGTTGAATCATAGATAATAAAAATCGTAATGTTATTTTTAAATGACCTAAAAATATATTTTGATTACATAGAAGAATCAGATGTTAAAAGAAGTTAAACAAAACATACTTGCTGTACTATGATTAGATAACATGAAATAAACTGTATGAATTGAATTTGTTATTGAAATAAATTTTTTTATAATAATTTCTGATAATATTAAATTATTTGTTTTTGAAAAATATTCCAATAATGTTGTAAGAAAACGATAAAGTGTTATATTCTAAATTTATATAGAAAATTAGAATAAGTCTAAAAAAAAGTAAAATGAACTAAAATCTTTTTTTTTGTTTACCTCACTTGATTTACGTTTTTCTTCAATAATAAGTGCAAGTATATCATTTAAATTTGATTTTAAATATTGAAGAAGATTTTCTATCAATTGATCAATTTCTTCTTGTGATGTTAGATGACGTATATATTCATTAAATTCACTTAAAGCTTAGAAAATAACAAAATCGATTTTTTTGTTTTTTTCTAAATTAATAATTTTCAAAATTTATATTTACCTAAAAAACTAGTTTCGGGATCTTTTAAGTTTTTAATAAATGTTTCAATTGAAAATGTTTGATCTAATTTATTTTTTTTCTCTGATTCATTAACATTTTCTTCGATTTTACGTTTAATACCCATCTAAAAATTTTAATAATAAAATAATGTCAGAATTGATTATTCATACTAATGTATTTATTTATTATACAACCTAGTTTTTTAATATTCAAATCAGATATATTTTGATATAGAAAGTTTTCTAATTCATTTATTTTCTTGTACTCATCTGAATCTCGAGCAATCTTATGTTTTTCTTTTAATGGGAGCATTCAGTTTCATATTGACATTCAACTATTAAAGAATGAAAACCCAAACAAATCCAGAAGTTATTAGAGTTTATTTCAACTTTAGTATTAATCTTTTAATATATACCAATGCTTTAGCTCGTAAAAATAAGCCATTAATCCGTTTCTATGTGATACTAACAACTGAAAAGGTATTCATAGCTTTGGACTTCTTATTCTGCTCATAAGTAGAGAACAAGTCTTCGACTTATGGGCAAAGTCTCAAATCACTTTGAATTGTTCTTTCATGCATGGAAAGCTATGCTTCTTAAGAAGTGTATCAAAATGAAAGAAAAATATTAATATCGATATAACAATTTATAAATTCATCATTTTTCTAAATATGTATAAAATAGATAAGCATTCACTATTGGTCAAATTTTCAAACGAATAGAAAGACAAAAAAACCGCCATTGAAACACAGTGTATTAGTAACTTAACTGGAGAATAAGGCTATAATGAGTTACATCTGTGAGAATGTGAGCGCCAAAAAATCTAATTTATGATAGAAATTTGTTTTTATTTCTTAGAAAAGTTGCGTTTTATACAAAGGATGGCGCCACATTACAGTAACAGTTTAACGACACCCAAGTAAAATCACCATGATCCGAAGAGACTTGACTATCTCAAACTATCAGTAATCTAAATTGGCTATCATCAGACTCCAACGTTGGAATACGATGATATTCGACAACGAAAATTAGTGAAATCCAAAGTATTCCGTTTTGCTTTTTCTTCATTATTAGAAAACATATGAAATATATTTGTAATACATTTTATAGTGACACTAAGCCAAGTTAAACATGCACGTTCTTAAACGATTGCTTTCGTTGATAATGGGAGCTATATATATATAATACAAGTATCGCTTCAGCCACATCCAAAATTGATATCAATAGAGAGAGAGATATACATTAGAAAAAAAAAATATTTTATCATAAAAGGATTGCTTAATAGAAGAAGATAACACCAACGTGAATGGATACATAATACATAAATAAGCGCCAAACATGACATAAGATAACAAACAGCATATTGATACGACATTGAAATTTTGTCTTTTCTGAGTATGATTTTATTAATAACTCTGTTTTTGAAAACAAATAAGAATGAAGAGAAATATACAGTACTAGTCGTAAATAACTATTTGTAAATGATTTTATATTATTCTTTGATTGTAACATAATCAATATAGAGCTTAATATTATCATACCAACTGTTTATAGCATTACTTTTATTTGTATAAACATCGAATTCGACGACAATTTCTAATACTTTCATGTTCAAATCCAATACGATACTGATATGATTTTCAGTTGAAACTTATTATAGATAAAACAAAATACATAAATGTGAATTATGTTGAGTACACTCATTTAAATTTTCTTTGCTCAGAATTTTTCCATTATTGCAATCAATTGAATTGATACACTATTTCTCATTTGTGCATTCAAAAATTGTTTGAGAATATTTCCAAAAACTCGAATCTCAAACTTTTGATAGATTAATATGTTGAAACATAATTGCTCCAATCGTATTTGAGATCGTAGAGCAAAATAACAATTATTATCAAATGATACAATTGTAATTACACTAATTTGTATTTGCCAACCGTTGACTAGAGAACTATTGAAATCTACTTGATCATTTGTGATCAAATTTGGATTATGACCTAAATGTTCCGTTTAGTAATCGAGCATGTCGAATTGACAGAGCACTCCGTAATTGATTATCTGTAATGTTCGTATTAGTAAAATCAGTATTGAACACATTAGCAGAAGTAAAATCAATAATTAGTAAAGATAGCATTTTTAACATTTACATTTCGAAAACTTGTTGAAATTAAAAGTATAATTTGAGAGACATGAACTTTTCTGAAAAATGACAAAAACTAAATCTATAACAGTACCCAGTAAAGCTTTGAAAAAATTTTCATCAACAAAAGAAACAGATGAAAAGTTGACATTGACTAATTCAGTTGATGAAAAGTTAATATTAATAAGAATTGCAAAAGAAAAGTCGACATTAGCACAACCACTCAATGATAAATCTATTTTTTGCATATTGGCATATGAGAAATTAGCATTAACAAGACCAATCGATGAGAAATTTGTATTGATGAGTCGAATATTTGACAAAGAAACATGGGCGAGTGTTGAAAATTGAAATTTGACATGGAGAAAAGTAACCGATGAAAAGTCAATGCCATTAAGTCGAGTATATAAAAAAAATCGACATCGACAAAAACACAATATGAAAAATCAACATAACTCAATTGAGTTTTATAAAGAGATCATGATAAAGATCAAATTTCAATTTATTTTTAAAATAAATCGTGCTTCATACATGATATTGTATACTGTTTAGGTATGTGTATATCAAACACCCACATAGTTGTCCTATGTCCGATGGAAATTAAATCATTGACATCAGTTACGCAACAGATAGAGTGGAATGGATAATGATGAATTTGAAACATTAGGGAGCCGTATCGACTGAGTTCAATGCAAATATGATCAAATAAGAATAATATGTAGAACTGACTTTATGAAGATACAATTCGAATAGAGAAAACAGTAAGATCATTTCTTTCAAGAACCCACGCTTTCCTTTATGCTTATGAAGTCTGTTATTCTCATATACACAAAATAATTACTAATTAATATAGTATATTCCATTGATCATGTTCTGATGCAATTATGATTTGTTTGAAGATTTAAATCTAAATGATTTGTCTAGTGTCATCAAAACCATGATTATTTAAACAATTTTCCGATGCTTTGACAATGGCTATATCTCGTCATGTATATTACTGTTGTTTACCATTGTGCTCATATATATTTCTGGTGAATGAGAAGACGAATGATTTCTTCTTGTTCATCCGTAGTAAATAGTAAAAGAAACGTTTCTTTACATAAGATAATAAGATGCTCTAAATAGAAGAAAACAAAATTATCTAATGATACTGTTGAAGTTTATTGATAGATCGCTGATTAATCGTTTAAAGTGACAGAATTTTGATGATAGAGGTCAATATGTTTGTGGGTTAGCGAACTGATATTACATTTACTCTATCATAGCACTTTTTCATTCAAAATGGAGAGCTATATATATCCAAAGATAGACAAAATGCATGTGTTTTTCTTCTGATTGATGACAAGAAAACCATTTTCTTGTCTTTTCTGTCTACAATATGTTTTAGGCGACAGTTGTCGAAGTTGGTATGCATGAGAAACAATACATTCTTTAGTATTGCTTTTCTTTTTCTCTCATTTATTTCCTTCTTTGCAATTTTCTGAGAATCCAGGGATAAAGTCCATGGAAAAAAACTACAAATTTTTCTCTTTCATAGACTGAACAATGTCAAAAAACAGTTAAGAAAAAGAAAATCAATTTGAATAAAATACAGTCATCTTCAAACTTATGATTCTTGCATTTTCATTTTTGTTTTTTTGATTATTTACCTAAAAGCTTCGATAATTTCAACTAAATCTATCATATAAATGTTCTCTGAAAAGACCTTGAAAAATCCCAATCAACTGATCAGACGGTTTCATCTTACTGGATTGTATTATTATTTTTTATCAGATAATTAAGCCATAGCATTGCCATTGATCATGATGTACTAGGTAGTTACATTTATGCATACAAAGAAATCAAAATTTTTATTGTTATAGACATAATCTTGAAAAAAGATTCTATTCAATTGTTTTTTAATATATATATATGTATGATAATATAAAAATAAAACCCTATGAATTAAATATAGAATTCCAAATGTTTATCTTTCTTTTGATAAACAACATGAAAACACAAACTTATAAATGCTGAATTCTGCCATAGCTAATGTTTTTTTTCTTGACAATAAGCTGCCAGAAATATATATATATATATATAAACACTGTTATGTTAACTCCTTGAATCAATATAGATCAAATAACAAATAAGATTTATTATGCATGATGAAAAAAAACAAGAAAAGAATATAAGGCTTTGAAAATAAATTCAGCACATTCTTTCTTTTAATTTATATAGCTTCAATTATATTCCTAAGATAAATATTTTATTTTTTTTTCTTTTAAATATTCATCTACTTGCTGGTTATATTTTCATCTATTTATCATATTATTTTTCTAACAATTAAAAAAAAATAAATTATTGTTGCATTACATTCTTCTTATTAGAATTCATTAAACAAAAAATCATTATTGAAATTTAATAAAATTAAAACTTTATTTTTCATGATTAAAATAAAGATCAAACTAATTGAATGATGTATCCACACATATTCATGCATATTCTCAGGAGGGTTATACAAGAAAAATAGGATACAGTATAAGGGCATATATGATGATGAACAATATTATTGAGCTAACCAGACAAAATGACTTACATAAAAATATATATATATATACTCTTATTCTATATGCACATGCAAATATCATCCGATCTCTATTTTAAAGAAGGGCGGGCGACATTAAGGATAAAATAAGTGATTTAGTACAAGAAGAATTAATTTTGTTATTTAAGCTTTTGCAGCATCAAGTGTAGCAGGAGACTTGACTTCAGATGATGGTACTTTTTGATCAACGATTTCATTGTTTGTTTCCGATTGTTCTTTGTTAGGTGTTTCTGTAGTAGGTGGTGATTGTTGTTTAGGAGTTTCTGTTGCAGATGGGGATTGTTGTTGTTGAGGAGCTTGCGGTGTCGGTGGTGGTTGTTGTTGTTGAGGAATTTGCGGTGCAGGTTGGTGCTGTGGTTGAGGAAAAACTTGTGCTACAGGTGCTGGTTGTTGTTGAACAAAAACCTGTGGAGTATATGCTTGTTGCTGTTGAAGAGGACCTTGTTGTATTAATTTTTGCTGTTGTTGTTGTTTTTGTTGAGGTGTATCTTCTCCAATGATTGTTCGTGAAATATGTTGAACTTGTTGTGTAGGTAATCCATTATATGTTGCTTGTTTTGCTTGACTCATATAATGATCACGTAATGATGATAAATTATTTCCACCATTTGTCATTGATGTTGATTGTTGTTGTTGTTGTTGTTGTTGTTGTTGTTGTTGTTGTCGATGTATAATTTGTGGTTGATTAAATTCATCTGGAATTGATCCTCTTTTAAATCGATCACGTAATGCACCAAAACCAGTTGGAGTATGTTGAATATGTGCTGGTGCAGCTGCTTGTTGTATATTTGTAAATGGACTTCCACCTTGTTGTTGCATTTGCATTTGATAATATTCAAGACTATTCACAGGTGGTTCATGTGGTTTAGGTAATGCTGAATATGTCATTGAATGTGTTGTTAATGTACGTGTTGTTGTTGTTTGACGTGGACCAAGATTTGTTGTATGAGTTGAAGTTGAATAATGTCGAGATGATGTTGATCCTGATCCTGATGTTGATTTTGATCTTGTATGATATTGTTGAATGGGTGCTGGTCCAGTAAATTTACTCATAAGACTCTAAAGATAATTTGATTAAAAAGAAAAAACACAATGAAATGACATTTTGATATGAATAAATACTCGTATTCCAACTGGATGTGATAATTGTTCTCCTTGTTGTTGTTGAACACGTTGTGCAGACATTTGACGGTGAGCCACATTATAAGCTTAATAGACAAATAAAAATTTAACAAAAGAATTTTGAATAAAAAAAAAACACCATACCCTGTTCATCTTGACGTTGTCGTTCGGATTCTGATTGAACATGTATTTGTTGATAATGTTGTCCTCCATCGAAGCCACTTGTTGAACGATGATGTTGTTCTTGTTGATAAGTAGGTGATGGAGATACTTGTTGAGCAGTAACTCGATGTTGCTGCTCATGATGAGAATGTTGTTCTTGTTGTCTTTGAATTTGTTGCTGACGTAACAATTGTTGATGTTGTTCTTGAAATTGCGGAGAAAAAAAAAAGCGGAAAAGGATAGAAGGTTATACACATGCTGTCATCTCTCAAGATAAATTTTGCCTTATGACCGAGGTTAAGAACAAAATTTAATTATGATAAATCGATGAAAAGTATATGACATACCCGGTGTCAATTGACTATAGTATTGTTGTAAATGATCTTGATGTCGTTGAGGAGAAATTGAATGAGATTGTTGAGGAGAACCAGTTGATACAGATCGAACTGATACTCGTTGTGCCTATTGAATAAAAAAAAAAACAAAAACAAAGAATATTGTTTTGTTATTTTTTTTTGTAAATAATGATAATTTAAAGACCTGTGCAAGATGATCATGAACTTGAGTTGGGCCTTCAGTCCATAGATCAACATTATGATGTGTATATTGAGCTGCACCTGGTGTTTGATAAACTACTGCAGGACCTGTTGGATGTCCTGGTTGTTGACGATTATCAAATTGAAAATGATGATGTTGAGGTGATACTGATGTTGGTTGTGGTGAACGTTGTAATTGATATAAATCTTGATTATTAACTGCTCGTGCAGTAGCCCGAACTTGAGGTGTTAATGATTGAGATGTTTGATAATGATGTTGAGTTAGATTTTTATTAAATCCACCTACTGATTGATATTGTTGAGGTGTATGATATGAATCATCATAACGAATTTGTTGATTTGATGAACTTGAAATACCAACAGGATATGAAGAATAGTTTCCTACAGGCGATGAATAATTTCGAGATGATTGTGAAGTAGTAGCATTATTAGTATTAAAATAATATTGACTGCCACTACTTGCATTATCAATATAATGTGTGGCCATTTTATTTTAATAGAATATTTATTTAAAAATAATAAAGAAAAGATAAATAGGCTAACTGAAGAGACGACGATCAAACAATAGATATAGATTTTAGTAGCAACGAACTAAACAGAGAAGTCGTTCGAGCTCTCTTATCGATACACTATTTTTTGCTCTATTTCGCTCTCTCTCTCGTTAATATGATTTTCTCCTTCTACTTTTATCTTTATGTATGTACAGAAGAAGAATAATCCGAAAGAGTATTGACCAAAAAGTATATAAGTTATATGCATTTCTTTTTTTTTCCCACATGTGGGTATTGCTTTTTTTTTTTCTACGATTGACGCAGAAAAGAAAAGAGCGCACATACTTGTGTATAGACACGGAATCCAATCATCGTTATCATTGGAAAGGAAAATATGAAGCAAAAACATCCTCAAAGACAAATACTCGTTTTGCATACTAGTCCATAGATATCTTTTTCTTATGTATTACTAACAGAAATGGCATATACAACGAAACAGAGAGAGAAAAGAAACGCATTGTTGATTTATTAGCAAGAGTGTCCCCAGACGATTGGGACCTATGGCTTCTCTTGTTAGTTCTGTGGTTAAGATTTGTAAATACGTAATGTTCGTTTTATAGTTTCACGACAAATAGGACATCTTGTTAATAATTTAGCACAATTAAGACATGATACAATATGACCACATTCAATAAATGCACAATTCGCTTCAGCATCCAAACACACTTTGCAAGCATCTTCAGAATTTGAAGCAGACGATGATTCTAAAGGAGCATTCGATAGTCTATATCGATCAGATGTTCCTATTTCATTATGTGACATGGATGATGATTCTAAAGAGAAGAGATAACAAAAAAAAAAGAAATGTCATAAAAGATATTATTTGCAATACGATTGTTTTTTTTTCTTTTACGTATGAGAGAAAAACTAGAAAGAAAAATTTTTGCTTACTTGAATATTCTTCATCAAATGTTCTATCGGTTTCATTTGGTTTTTGATTTGTGTCTATTCTCGATGAAATTTGTTGATTTGTTTTAATATATTGATATTTCTTAATCAGATCTTCCATGGATAAACGTTTTGCCATTGATATAATTCAAAAAAAAACAAGAAAGATTTTCCGTTGTCTTTATATATATATTTTTTTTTGACAACTTCGTTTATATATGTGTGTCGTATAGCTAATAAAATTAAAATGACAATACGAATTTTTGTCGTCGACTTTTTATACTTTGTTCGTTGTTTGGTTGTGTGTCGAGCAACGTATGACACAAAAAAAAAACAAGCCTGATAAAATTACTTTTTATATCATCAAAAGAACCAACAAAAGAAAAAAACAAAATTCCGAAAATTCATGAACAAGAAAGAAAAAAAATTCATTCCTTTTTTTTTTTTCTTTATTTGTGTTACAACAAAAAAAGAAATATAAACGATTATGTGACATGTATTGATTCATACGTTTTACTTCTAAGACATATGAACAACGCCAAAGAAAAAAGAAAAAAAAAAAAAAATTTTTTTTTTTCATCGTCTGACAGAAGCAATTTTTCATGTACGGATATGTTGACACTTGAAAAGCAGCTGTGCACATTGCTTCACAACTATTCAAACATTTCTTAACTTATTGCAAGCTAGGTTTTTATTGTTATTTGTTCATAAGACAACAGCAACAAAGAATAAAAAATAAATCAGGAAAGAATTATTGAAATGCGACGAAGTTATAGTGATCGAATATTTCTTTTTCTTAGTGTTTTATTAATATTTTATATTGGATGGTTTATAATTAATAGTTTTTCTCGAATTTCACGTGATCCAGAAGAAGAAATGGCTTATTTACATGCTATTAGTGGATCATTACCAATAGTACATAATGTTCATTTATGTACTTCTAATGAAATTGATCTTATTATTATTATTATATCATCAGGTTCAAATTTTCTTGAAAGACAAGCTATTCGTGAAACATGGGGATCAATATCTCATATAATGAATGTACATTCTCAACGTTTATTTGTTGTTGGTTATCATTCTAGTAATAATCTTTATAAAGATTTATCAAATGAAGCACATAATGAACAAGATTTACTTTATTTAACTATTGATGATGATTTAATGACACTTAAAGAATTACATGCATATCGTTGGTTAGATAAATATTGTCCAAATGTAACATTTACATTTAAAACCGATGATGATCTATTTGTTAATTCATTTCTTTTACATGAACTTATTCAAGAACTTAAAACAAATCCTGATAAATTTCAAAATCGATATTTATATAATCATTCATTAGATTCACTTTTTCTTGCTCATCTTAATCCTGATGCACATACATTTCTTTTTGGTTGGGCATTTGAACCAGGTAAACCAGAACGAAATGCTAGTGTTAATCCTTATTATGTTAGTTATAAAGAATATCCAAAAGAATTATATCCACATTATTGTTCTAGTTTGTATTAATATTATTTGATTAATTAAACAATTGTTTGGTTTTTTCTTTATTTTAGGTTTTGGTTATTTAATGGATTCTAAAACACGAAATTTACTTGTTGAAGAAGGTTTTAATGATAGATATCCATTTCGTTTTTCGGATATATTTATAACAGGTATTTTACCTGAACGACTTAATTTTATTTGTGATAGTCTTCCATTTACATATCATCAAGGTACAACACAAGATTGTATAGATATTATAAAACTACATAATAAGAAAACTTTAAAATTATCAACACCTCCACTTATTGTTTGTTCAACTGGTCGTCATGTAGCACAAAATACATTTTCAGATTATTATAGAATTTGGAGTGTTCTGAAATTTTTTTTTAGTAATCAAATAAGTTCTACACGAAGTAGAAAGTCAAAGGATTAATTAATTTTTTTTGTCTAGTTCTTATTACTATTTGTATCTAAAAAAAAAACAACAGTTTATCAATATATTTTATTAAAACAAGATATCAGGTGATAGTGTGGGTGTTACTCATATCTACATCCACACCCACATCCTTGATGTGTCTGAGTTGTCTATATCAGCCGCAGAGACCAAATCTATCTCGGTTATGAGATAAATTGTTATTACAGATGGCGCTGTGACATTTGTTATTAGTAAAATATATTCTAAAACTGTAATCTTGTCGATTAATTTGAATTTTTTGTTTTTACTAATAAATAATACAAAATTGAATAGAAAGTACATTCTACAATCGTTCACAGGTAGAACTGAAAATCGTAAACGTTACAAGTTCTTCAATTGATAACACAGTGTTCTTAAATGATCTAGCAATTGATTTATTTTACTGATATGTACCTCTACCAATAATAATAATTTTTTAATTTAAGATCTTCTGATGTTGCATAAAATGCAACGTTGATAATAGCTAATGTCTGTTAATGATAGTTTTTCTCAAATAACTCTCTACCTATCCACATATTTCGTGCAAAGAACATTCGCCTTTTTCGTTGCTTCAATTGATATTTAAATAAAAGTACTTATTATTTTCTTTTTTTTTTTGATTTGTCATATTTAAATTTAATGATCTGACATTAATCATCACTCTAATCTGAATTTAATCATAAAGATCGAAAATTAACATTTCATGATTAATAATACTATTTTATTGAATTTTTACTTAGATAAAAAGCATTGTCTGTTGTCACACACATTGTCGTTCTTCTAATTATAGAATTTGACAGTTGCTTTGATGCTACTGTCATACTAAGTGCAGCTTTTATTGCTAAAGTAAAGCTTTGCTACGTTGTTGTTGTCATAAGTGAATTCATAACTGTTGAAGATGATAAATCTTTTGTTTTAGACAAAGTATTTGTAACTATTGTAATGATTTGAGATAAAATAATAGATGATGACAGTGAACTGTCTTGAGTTGTCATTTTGACTTCGAAATTCGAAGTATCGTAGACCAATGTTCTATTTGTAGAAGACGAGCTATTTTGAACTGTTGCTGTTAATGTCGATAATACATAATCATTTGTTGAAATCGTATTAATACTGGTATTCGCGGTTGAAGTCAGCCTCAAATTATTACTTGTAGTAGCTAAATCATCTGTATACAAGTACTAAAACGAATACATAAAAGTGAAACAAACATCTGATCGACTGCAGAACTTTATCGACAGAATGACTTTTTATTCAAAAAAGGGATTAGACATGTTCTGGAGTCAAAAATTCTTGGTTTTTTATATAGTGTTTCGAACTTGATAGCTTTGGTTTTGATGTCTTTCTTAAGATATCAAAAGAAAACTGATTCTTAATGGATAAATCGATAATGCTTTCTTGTAAACTTGATCATATATATCTACTTGAAGTGAGCTTTAGAAATCACATTTTATATCAATCAAAACTAGATATTTTCAAGAAACTATAAGATTAAAATGATCAAGCTATCTTTTCGAAACTTAATGGTAGTTGAATTATAGTGATGTGGTTAGGAAGATATTTCTACAAAGCACAGTAAAAGACTCGTTATTTTTCTTTGTATAGACTTTTGAAAAGGCTTATTTTACATTGGAAATCATTTGTCTCAAGGATATAGGATGTGGATGAGTATCAATATAGAGAGAAAACTACCACGTACGCCTAACCACATCTACCAACAACGAAACTTATTCCACACTCATAGTGAATTTGAATTAAAGCTGGACGGCTGGTGATAAAAAATCAAAAACGAATTTATGATTCAAAATAAAGAAAACATCATATTGAAAAAAAAGTAAACGTCATTATTGATGACGCATAACCAAATTAGAGCACAGCTATTGTACTATAATTCATCTGTCAGCAAAATAGATCAAATTTCAAAGATGAATATGATACTATGATCTTGATGAAGTCTACAAGTGTTCAAATATTACTGTTGAATCCTGTCTGTCTAAAATATTTGTGCAAATTCATCTGCATGATTCGTAAGATTTATCTTAAATTTTCTTTCCTACTAGATAACATCAATTTTCAAGCAAAATATCAAATTCAAAAACTAATTAGTATTAACTTGTTTTCATCCAACGTGACACCAATGTTTCAAAAATGTAAGTACTTTCATTAGTCACCAAATATTTTGAAGTAGATAATTCTTCATTATGAAACGAGTCCTATTCCTATCCAAATTTAATCAAACATATCATTTAAAAGTCATATTATTTGACAAATGATCAAAGTCACAACTTTTGATCATTAGGCCATTCTTAGAAGTGATTTTGCATTTTCGTTGTACAAATCCAACATTGCATCAACCCTTACACTTTCTGTCATTCAACCTACGGACTTGCAACATGCGATAAAGAATTGAAATGAATCACATTGTGCTGTCCCTGTAGGGTTTCCATTGCCAAGACTTTCAGTTTTTTTTCTCAAAAGGAATGTTTTCATTCATCTGTCTGTGAATAGTTTGTAGATGTACCGCCAGAGAAAATCATGAATGGTGAGCAACACATGATTGCCGTTAGATGCATGGCATTTGTTTTCATTTCTTTCTGTTTATTGAAGAAACATAAAATGTCCAAGAGAACAGAAACGAAGCTTCGAAAATTTAAGAAAAGAAAATAGCTAATTTCTATTCGAAATCATATTACAGCAACCGTCATTATTGTCAAAGAATTGATAAGTATAAAACTGCTAGGAAGAACATTATTGGATTTTTATCAAAAAATAGTAATTATTTAAATAAATTTCACAGCATTCAGTAGTTGAACTGATCATTGATGAATGTATAAATCTTTTTTTACATATTCTGCGAGCCCATGGATATGAATGACGATGCCGGTGTTAGAATCCTTCTGGTAGATTAGCACTGATCGACTCACCGCCATAATCATACCCATAAGTTATAGATTAATTGATTCTTATTTAATCGGCATAACTTTTGGATAACCATATGGATATGAAATTCACTTTATCATACACTAAGTTATTGATCATAATACAGAGATAAATGAAAACTATCTAATTCGCGACTATTAAATAAATCAAAAAACATATATTATATTTTCAAATTTATTCAAAAATCAATAAACTAATATATGCCAAAAGATAATCTGTCATCCCTGCCAATAGGATCATGATGATGAACACAATAATTGGAATTTCTCTTTCTGGATATTCAAGAAAAAAGAACATTAAATCACATATATATTCAATTTTGTAACATACTATAAAATGGTATGAAACGGTGTTGTAGTGTTGATTGTGGTAATAGCTGTGGTTATGGTTGCTGATCAAGATTATCAATATTATTATTATCATCGTCATCAAGCATTTCTTTTGAATCCTCGTCTTGGAACAAAGAAAAGTTTCTTATTTCTATAACACTTGATATTTAGGTGTGGGTATGGTATTCTATTCACTTACACCCCCACCCACACCATGGTCTTTCAGATATGCTTCAGAGATGCTGTATGTAGTAATACTTTGACAGCATTATTGTAAGCTTCAGATTTTATAGACCAATTGGTATTAAGCAGCAAGTTGGAGCCACGATAGAACGAAGGAAAAGATGACCTTTCTCAGAACTGTAACTATTCATCTTCCAATATCCAAGAAACTTCTCCAAGTCGATTGAAATAAATTAAAGAACTTTCAATAGATTGATTTCACTTTCAATATTTGATAGAGGAAATATTTTTGATAGAATGAATAAGAGTTCTTCGATTACTTTCCAATTATTATAGATTTACTTTTTAAAATAATACAAAAAAAATGTACAAACAAAAATAATACTTTTAAACTGATGAGTTTTCAATAAGTGAATTAGTTCGTAAATCTTCAGACAATTACTATCGTTCGTCATATACTTTATTTTTCTATTTTACAACACTATCACATTGACGTGGAAGAATTTGTATATGAAAACAAGGATATGGCTTGTTTTTTGTTGGCTCTAATGGTTTGACATCGACAATTTGAAACTGGAAACCAGATGGTAGTAGAACTTCTTCTTCATTAGGGAAGTGCGAAAGTTTACTAATATCGACACCTTGACATGTAAAATGGTCTGTATCGGTCAATAAGATTTCGAAAAGAGTATTTCCCGTGAATTCATTGGCCACTGCGCTACTTTTAGTTGTTGACGTAAAGCCGAGCCAAGTCAAGAATTTATCTCCTTGTTTCATCTCTTTCTGAAATCGACCGATCATACCTGGATGTAGCCGAGCACCACGATATACAGTTCCTCGATAGAAATCAATACCAAAAGGTGAACGCAGACAAAGATAAGAATAGAGTAAATAGCAATAAGGCCCAAGTGTATCTCGATAAATTCGCCTGTCACGCTCTCGAAGAGCTCGATTGACCAGTTTGTACAGAAAACCAGGACGCGTGTACAATTTTACCGCACATTCTTTTCTGTTCACTTTGTTTTCACAATTTCGTACTTTACGCAATTCATTACATATGATTTTTGTTTCTCCACTGAACTCTATATTCTTTGAACCTTCTTCTTCTATTCCTTTAATAGCCGCATCAACAATATCTTTTTCACTCACATTCACATCTCCTTGATGACATTCAATAAAATGTTTGTGCCATTCTTGGATCATCAATGAACCAAATTTAATATCCGTTTCGAATGGTTGAAAGAAATGATCATGATCACCGGAGAAAATGAAACGATTTTGACGAATATGCTCATCATTCATATTTTGAACGTTACTCAGACGTCTTATTGGACGTTGATGTGTTGGAGCATTTTGTACATATTGAATCTGTTTTTGAATATCAATCACATAATAATCGTAAATTACAATAGGTTCAGATGAAGATGAACAATAAGCTTGTTCAATCAGAAAATTCTCTTCAGGTGCATATGATGTCCATGAGACTTTTTCTGGATCTGCAACATCGCATGGTTTAGTATCCGATTGCCATTGCCATTGTGCAGCCATTTTTTTAAGTAAGCGATGAGAATAATGATGTGTCGTCTTATTATTTACGTCCTTTTATTTTATTGGGGAAAAAACGCAAAAGAAGTGTCAACATATTACTAATTCTGCTTCCTTTTTACTTGAAGCTGCAAGAAACGAATTATTTTACTCGCAAATGATTCTTCCAACAACATTTGCCATTTTTAGAGGTTTTATAAACCACATCCACGCTGAATAATGACGACTAAATAACAAGTAGTGTCTTGCTTTCAAGACAACTCCAGACAGATTCTTGTATTCAATTGTTAACAAAACTACGATTGAATATCTATCCATTGTCCTCTTTCAAATAATTAATATGTAGTACTCAATTGATTACATTCATGTATTGTTCAAAATTCAGCAGTGTCTAAATTGCGGATTTAATTTCAATGTTCAAATATTTCTGAAACATAGGCAATGCATATCTGTACATGAGAATACAATAGAAATACAGTCATAAAAGGCGTCATTTGAAGTAGTAGCTGAACAATTGAATCCAATGGCTAAATTTAGGCCTCGGTCCTGCATCCATCCCAGGTCAGTTACAAAATGTTTCGTATTTAATCATAGTAATATATTGCTATGGCAATGGAACTCACTAATAAATAACTCATTATAATTTTTTCAAGATATTTGATTCTTAAATTAAAACATCTGTGAGAAAAGGTGAATAAGAAAAAAAAAATCATCAAAAAGCTTTTCCTGTTAGAAAAAATGGAATAATATTATTCAAATGATAGTCGTAAATGCAACATAAAAATTAAAATAATAATCAAAACAAGTGAATTGATATAATTCGATGAAGTTTTATTAAAAGGTGTAGTCATTGATAGTTTAATAGTAGTTCATACATTTAATGTATCACATTGTGCAATAGTAATATCATCAAAAGCAACACCTACTCGTGTTGGTCGTCGTTAAGTAATATGAAAATATATAGCCTGGGTACAAGCAATAGGATAGAAAGACTTAGTGACTAATTGCTAACCAAGACTGTTATCTAATTCAATAGACCAAAGAGTTGCTTCCTGACAACCACCAGTAAAAGCTTCTATCGTTGTACTTTTTCATGTGGGAGAACATCTGTCGAATTAACAAAATAAGCAAATCTAATACACATATCTCTATTTGTTTCGATTAAAGGTGTTTTGAATTGCCCATTAATAAGTGTTAGTGATGTCTGTTGAGAACGTAACCAATACAGAAACTAATCACCACTCCAACCTGTTGCTTGTTTTGGACCAAGATCTTGATCATTGATATTATACGGTGATTGTATAGTATAGTTAATAACAGATTGTGGATGAAGATCTGTATAATCATTTTTATACCACATGTTGAATCCATAGGATTATCGAAATCACAGGTAAATTCAATATTTGAAGTACTATAAAAATATTTTTGAGGATATCCACATGATTTAATAGAAATTGAATCAATTGCAAATGAACTATTCACTTCATAATCAGAATCCATACGAAATAGAAGAGAATAATTGCCTATAGGTAATGGAGCATATGCCCAAGACCTAGTCGAAACATATAACAAAAAAAAACAAAAATATTTTAATTTAAATACAGTTACTTACCATCGTTGATTTATATAAGTATAATTGATTGGATTAATAGGCCGAATTTGTGCAACAGACTTTTGATCTCTTTCATTTAATGCTAATACTGTAAGTTTACTAGTTTGGAAAATAAGTCCAAATCTATAATATTGGAAACTGAGACAATATATAGGATCAGACGATGTGAAACGAAAGAAATATGTGCTTAAATATCCAGCACCACCTGGTTGGAATGAATCTGAATTATTAAGCCACATATAATGACCTAGAGCGGTGAAGAAATGACAATATTTAGTCGTATGTTTTTTTTTAATTTTAAGGTACCTGTTTTATTTCCAACGAAATAGTCAACTTCTGGAGCTTGTATCGTATAATTTTCTGCTTCTTCTGCTTGAACCACTGACCAACTATACGAATAATGAGAAAATGAAACCAACTCAGAACAAACAGTTTTATCAAAATCACAGTCGAAAATCATTTTGATTGAAGGTATTGGTTTTGAGCTGGGACATAATGAAACTGATAAATCGTCAATATCTAATGAACCCGTAATATTTGTAAATGACACAAAAGGAATGAAAAGAGTAGCATAAAACATTTCTATCGTAATACCATCCCATTCTGGATCATTTACACCTATTCCAATAATTCCTATTGGTAGTCGAGCTTGTAAATCGTCACCTTGTGCAAGTTCTAAATTGAAATAAATTCTGCCACGCTACTAAATAGACCCATGATGACAAACATGCTATTAAATTTAAAGGTGTATTTATCCAATCTTTTGTACGAAATACAGTTAAAGGTTGTGAAATTGAAGAATTTGTATAAGTTATATAATGACCAGAAAGATTTCCATATGTATGATCAATATGTGATGAAACATTCTCGACAATCCAATAAGAATCAAATAGAAAATCTTCACATGGTTTTTCGAAATTACATTGAGAAATTTTTTGTGTTTTTGATGTTGATATGAAACAATAACCTAGCAATAAAATTGTGATTAACATTAGATGTATGTATGTAAATGTAAAATGTACAGCACGTTATAAATATACAACTGATAAGAGAATATATTTACGTTCGCTAATAACAGAATTACATACTTGTTTTCTTCTATGGACGTATGCTTTTATCAATGACACATAGTTACAACTACATATTATTTATTGTTGTATATAACAAATTTCAAGTACAAAAGTAGTCAAGTCAACATGATATCATGTTTGAACTGAGTTAATGCTTGTCGAATTATTATTTATTAACAGAAGTTATGTTTTATATTAACATGCTAAGAAAGACTTCATTACAATATACAAAAATCTATGTGAGTAACATTTTGTCACATAGGAGTTTTTCGACCATAAAAGCACCCATATGTCTAATCAAAATATTGATTACTTAGCCAGATTCCATACATATTGTATAGGCACTTTTGTGAAACACGATCTAAAAGGAGTATTGAAATGTATAGAGTAGTTATTTTGACTCAATCTTCATCTTTCTTCACATACTGTGACAAATGCTATCGGGAAACTATCGCATACCTTGACATAGCTTGTTGATTTACAAGATAAGCTGCTCTTTTAGGATCTCCTAGGAAACTCAATTAAATACCAACTTGTTCGATATAGGATGTAGTTTGTTGCTCGTCGCACTTCTAACTAGAAAATTATGTATAAAATTTCTTACGAAGCAATCATAGTCAATGTTAAAATGCAGAAGAGATTTTAGATGATCATTGAATACGTATGGGTTCATATAAGTTGATTGAGTTCGATGATGATGCAATAAAAATTAAGACATATGTGGAATCTCCAATGAAAGCTGTGACATTTTATACAGATATCATCATTTAAAAAATGATTTCTGAAAGTTTCTTTCTAAATTTAAAAGATAGAATAAGAAATGATATTTTTTTAAAATATGATTGTTCAATCTATAAATGCTTCTGCGATGGAATAATTAAAAACAAACGAAGTCCTATTTTTTAAAGTCATTGATATTATGTCAACGAAATAATTTGCAGATTAAAAAGTGAAACACTTCATTGAAAGTCAATATCAAAACCCGACGACCAGTTAAAAACGCCAAACGCTTACTGCTTTCATGAAATATCTTTTCTATTCTGTTCCCGAGTGGTCATCCCTATTTTTCGACAAAAAAGGCCGATATTATCTCTAATAAGGCCATTCATAATATGCTCCATTCGAAGAGCGACTGTCTGTTTCCGATTGTTGCTTTATCCAATGATCTCATATGTTCTCTTCTACAATGCTGCGCATGAGATATACTTTAATTTCTGCTGTTTAAGCAGTATAGGACTTAGTCTACTAGTGTAGCCAACGACGTACCTAGGAGCTGATTTCATGCGCATCTCGTCCCAATTACTTCCTTCAGCAAAATTCAATAAAACAATTTCCGTATGATTATACATAGCAGCTACATTGTGTTTTACATTTTAATCCTGCAGAATTGTACTAATAATTATTTATTTAAAAATGTCCAAATGATCGATATATCTATTAATGGAGTGTACGTGTTCATACGATTCATTGTAAATGATATTCAGATTTAAGTGATGAAAGTAAATGAAAATAAACAAAATTGTGATCAACGATGTCATGATTTATCCAATGGACGAGCAACTCTTTGTTTATGTCATGCTGATTATAAATATAATAAAGAATCATTAAAACGTGAATACTACACATTAAATTATTGTTCAGAAGTATGAGTTAATATTAAAGGTGGTTTTCAATCAAATATAGTTAATAGATCAGATTGTTATCTAACAGATAGTACTCATTTTTGACTCCCTATCAATAAAATCTTAGCGTTAATGTAATTAAAAGATACTGACTGACGAAAATATTATTAGTAAAAGTTATTTTTACTGTCTATCTTGTTTCTTTTTCTCGCATATTTTGGATTGTAATAGAAAATCTATTAATAACTATATAGAATTATTCAATTTTACTTTATGTTCTCTAAACATGAATTAAGGAACATGAACATGAAATTATTCCTTTTCACCATTTGAGCTAATGTTTGGCTCTCCAAAAAGTCTCGATAAGACTAGCAAAATCCTAATAAAGTTCTTGTGCATCAGCCTATAGAGCTGGATTATGAGTCATAATTCAATTACGCAGACCCATAACTACGAGCTTTTTTAAGATTGTTCTAATCTTATCGAAACCTTCCTATGCAACATAAGCATGAACTAGGAGTACTGAACGTCTCATTTCAGCCGAAGTAACATTTATACTAGAATTAGAGAAGAATTTGTGTAACGTTAATAACTCGACAATGGTAACTAGTAACGATCCGTGGTTTTCAGTAATCAAAAGACAAGACTCCAGATGTCTTTTCTGTCAAATACTGTATAAGACAAAATTCTTTTGAAGTCCATCATCTATGTCAAACGTTCGTAAAGAATGATTCATGTGATTATCTTGTTTTATCTCAATATTGAGCAAACAAAATCCAATATTTTTTGATCAAATTATATTGAATTCATTGAATTTTGGCAAATTTTCACTGTAAGTACATAGTATTTTTCTTGGATTTTTGATATAAGGAGGGTGTGGGTGTGTGGGTGTGATTGTTAATTTTTTCGACACTTATATCCACATCCACACCCTCGAAAATCTAACTTGACTTAATGGAAACTACCACTATTTGTTGAAAAATTCGGTAAAACTTCGATATCGAAAGAATTACGACCCGGAAAATCAAACCATTCTTCATTTCTCTGTTACTCACTAGTAGTTATCAAATAAATATCATCTCAATCGAAAAGTGATTTGACAATGGGAACGCTTCTCTCGTAAGTCGAAATGCATTTGTGCATATACATATATATATATATGCATTGTTAGATAACAATCGATTCCAACTTTACCATTACCATCACGTCTTTTATCTTTCAAATGATTTTTATTATATTAACCATGTAATGATAAAAAAACCAAAATAAAAAAATACAAGATTTACAATGAAATAAATTTTTCAAAAAAATATGACAATCAATCTATATATATAGAAAATCCAGTACGTTAAATAAAACCAGGCACTCTAAAATCGAGTTTTAACCAGAATGGAATTGCTTTAAACGAAAAAATTTGACTTCAATCAAAGTAATCATGAATTTTGTTGTCGGTAAAATAATTATCGTTTGCATTTACTAAAAAATTCTTGAAGTACAGATGTTCAGAGTAAAATAGGATAATTTTGCACATCTCTCCACTGGAAGGGCTTAAATCGAAATAATGCTTACTCAATAAAATCTTTTTTTCACAGTTAAAATGAGAGAATACACTAGTTTTTGAAGCAAGAATAACTTGACAAATGTTGACATTCATTACTACGTTGAAAAAATTATCAATACAATTGTATTAATAGTATTCTAATTGATTCTACTTTGCTCTCGTTGGGTATTCGATATATACAATTCTATTGTAAAAATATAAAATATTTTCGCAAAGAGCAGAGCATTATGTAATTTGAAAAAAAAACCAACAATGATTTCTGCCACATGATGTTTGTTGACTGTTGCTTACTACGAAGATGCTCGAGAGATTTTATAATTTTTATAAACTAGTTCAATACTGTTGTACTTCAGGACTCATTCCATTGTGACTCAGTTCCAGCAGCTTTGCTGTCTGTATCGTCCAACATAAAACTGAATCAGATAAATAAGTAGTAGAATAGTATTACTGTATTATTTTCTAGAGAACCCAGGGACTTAAAATATTACAAGAATTTCATGACTTTTATGAATTTTATATCAAAAACATGAAAAAAAATGGTACTTTGGATCATGAAACGGACAAAAACATGCATGTATGTCAAAGTCATTGATTAAAATGAATATTTTCATCAATTTAATTTTATGACTTTGATTTGTAACTAAAATCACAGCATTAAACCGATGAAAATGTTCATTTTAATCAATGAATTTGAAATACATGCATGTTTTTGTCCGTTTCATCAATTTAATAAATTTTTTTTGATTTTTTAATTCTCTGGGAATTTATCACAAAATCGAGAACATTCGTCTTCGATTTTGTTCTATCGAAAAGACTACGTTTTGAGTGTCTAATTTAAAGAATATATCTGATGGATACAATAAATTCATCGAGATTTTGTCGTTAGAAAGATAAAAGCTTGTGTTAATCTGTTTTGAATAATGCATAAGTTAAATGTTGTACGCCTTGGTTTGCTGATTTGTTAAATGCAAGATTCAATTTTATTAACATCTATATTGAATGATAAACACTAATATGAAATAGATCTATAGAATATGAATCTCACTGAGTTACTTTTTTTTGATGCATCAGTAAAATATTTCATTGCTACATCTCCGACTTGATTGTGAGCATTTGTTTTATTTTTAAACAAACAAGTATAGAATGCATGAGTAAAAAAGATATTGTCTTATAGTATTATTTTGTAAAGCTTTAACAAAAAATTTAGCTCCTTGTGAACTAATTTTATTATAACAAAGAATTAATGTTGTAAGATTTTATTTCAATGATACAAATGAATAGATAATAGATAAGCAGAAAAGTTATGTCACCTTATTTTTTTTTTGTAGTGCATTAGCCACATGTAGTATTTCTTGATCGCTGAATTCGTTACTCAATAGATCAAAGTTCATCAATGTCTATTTTAAATAGTATCAACGAATAAATAGTATATGATAGGTCTCATTTTGTTGATCTTCAGTGGATTTTTTTACTTTTTCGATATATTATTCGAAAACGTCTTTGGGTGTCGCAATGATTTTAAAATCAGAGCTATATAATTTTCGTTCAAACATTGTTACAAAATTCGATGTTCATATATGATCGGTTTTTTTCGAAATTTCGATATGAAGTTTTATTAGTTCTCAATTCATTCTACAAAATGACAACTTTTGAAGTGTGAGCGTTTTTTTTACAACGAGAACGAGTCCCACGCCCTCAATTCGAAAATTTTATAAACTAATAAATGATAAAGTTAGTTT